TTGATTTCTTCAAACCAAGCTGCTTACCTATTGCATATTCAGTCTTCCCAGCCTGGTGCAGGTCTACAATTTTGTTTCTGGTGTCCTTTGACAGCTCTTTGGTCTTGGCCATGGTGGAGTTTGGAGTGTGACTGTTTGAGGTTGTGGACAGGTGTCTTTTATACTGATAACAAGTTCAAACAGGTGCCATTAATACAGGTAATTGTCACGATCGCCGGTAAGAGATGAGGACCAAGGCGCAGCGTTGCAGGCAAACATACTCTTTATTAGAGACACGATCAAAAAACAACAAAACGATAACGTGACAGTTCACGGTCTAACACAACAGACTAGAAACAAGATCCCACAAACTATGTGGGGAAACAGGCTGCTAAAGTATGGTTCTCAATCAGAGACAACAAGCAACAGCTGAATCACGTTGCCTCTGATTGAGAACCACACTGGCCAACATAGAACCACAATACCAGAATGTGAAACCTAGAACAACACACATAGACTTTACACACCCTGGCTCAACATATTAGAGTCCCCAGAGCCAGGGCGTGACAGTACCCCCCCCTAAAGGCGCGGACTCCGACCGCGCCCACCAAACACCACAGGGGAGGGACCGGGTGGGCACTCCGCTTAGGCGGCGGATCCGGCTCCGGGCCTGCTCCCCGCTCCCTCTCCATTCCCCCAAAGTACCCCTGGTCCGGTCTGGCCCCGCTGGCCGGAGCTGGACTGCACACTGGTGGAGCGGATTGCTCTAGCTCCGGCGTGAAGCATCTGACCGGTGCCGGACCAGCCACCGGTGGAACAGGCACGGGCCGTGCCGGACTGACGACGCACACCACTGGCTTGGTGTGGGGAGCAGGAACGGGCCGAGCCGGGCTGACGAAACGCACCACTGACTTGGTGCGGGGAGCAGGAGCGGGCCGAGCCGGGCTGACGAAACGCACCACTGACTTGGTGCGGGGAGCAGGAGCGGGCCGGACCGGGCTGACGAAACGCACCACTGACTTGGTGCGGGGAGCAGGAACGGGCCGAGCCGGGCTGACGAAACGCACCACTGACTTGGTGCGGGGAGCAGGAGCGGGCCGGACCGGGCTGACGAAGCGCACCACTGTCACGATCGCCGGTAAGAGATGAGGACCAAGGCGCAGCGTTGCAGGCAAACATACTCTTTATTAGAGACACGATCAAAAAACAACAAAACGATAACGTGACAGTTCACGGTCTAACACAACAGACTAGAAACAAGATCCCACAAACTCTGTGGGGAAACAGGCTGCTAAAGTATGGTTCTCAATCAGAGACAACAAGCAACAGCTGAATCACGTTGCCTCTGATTGAGAACCACACTGGCCAACATAGAACCACAATACCAGAATGTGAAACCTAGAACAACACACATAGACTTTACACACCCTGGCTCAACATATTAGAGTCCCCAGAGCGTGACAGTAACGAGTGGAGGACAGAGGAGCCTCTTAAAGAAGAAGTTACAGGTCTGTGAGAGCCAGAAATCTTGCTTGTTTGTAGGTGACCAAATACTTATTTTCCACCATAATTTGCAAATAAATTCATTAAAAATCCTACAATGTGATTTTCTGGATGATTTTTTCTAAATTTGTCTGTCATAGTTGACGTGTACCTATGATGAAAATTACAGGCCTCTCTCATCTTTTTAACTGGGAGAACTTGCACAATTGGTGGCTGACTAAATACTTTTTTCCCCCACTGTACATTTCCTCAGTGAAAACAATGTACTGAGCAAATGTCAAATTGGCTTTTTACCAAATTATCCTCAGTGTACAATGTAAAACACCAAATAATGCATGCAGAGCAGAATTAGGCCGATACCTGCTAATTATCAAAATCCAGAAAAGAGCCGTTAAATTCTACAACCACCTAAAAGGCAGTGATTCCTAAACCTTCCATAACAAAGCCATCACCTACAGAGAGATGAACCTAGAGCGTCCCCTCAGCAAGCTGGTCCTGGGGCTCTGTTCACAATCACAAACAGACCCCACAGAGCCCCAGGACAACAACACAATTAGACCCAACCAAATCATGAGAAAACTACAAGATAATTACTTGACACATTGGAAAGAATTAACAAAAAAACAGAGCAAACTAGAATGCTATTTGGCCCCAAACAGAGAGTACACCGTGGCAGAATACCGGACCACTGTGACTGACCCAAAATTAAGGAAAGCTTTGACTATGTACAGACTCAGTGAGCATAGCCTTGCTATTGAGAAAGGCCGCCGTAGGCAGACCTGGCTCTCAAGAGAAGACAGGCTATGTGCACACTGCCCACAAAATGAGGCGTAAACTGAGCTGCACTTCCTAACTTCCTGCCAAATGTATGACCATATTAGAGACACATACTTCCCTCAGATTACACAGACCCACAAAGAATTCGAAAAACAAATCCAATTTTGATAAACTCCCATATTTTGGGGGTGAAACACCACAGTGTGCCATCACAGCAGCAATATTTGTGACCTGTTGCCACAAGAAAAGGGCAACCAGTGAAGAACAAACACCATTGTAAATACAACCCATATTTATGTTGATTTATTTTCCCTTTTGTACTTTAACTATTTGCACATTGTTACAACACTGTATATATATACATAATATGACATTTGAAATGTCTTTATTCCTTTGGACCTTTTGTGAGTATAATGTTTACTGATCATTTTGATTGATTATTTCACTTTGGTTTATTATGTTTCCCATGTTTCTGCCAATAAAGCCCCTTAATTTGAAATTGAATTGAATTGAGAGATAGGAGGAGGGGGGTTGGTGGGGTAGAGAAGATCATGTTGAAGTCTCCCGCCTGACTCTCACCTGGTCTCCTTCAAACGGATGAGGAACAGCACGTTAGTAACAACAATTTAACAGTTGTGCTTTTTTGTTGTTGTTGTTGTGTTTGTTAGAATGAAAATTGCGTGATCATGCTTAGTAACTGCCACATGGACCACCCATGCCAAGCATTAGTCTACAGAAATAAAACAATGACTAGGCGATGCCATTTGAATTCTGCTTAAACTTGAGTCAGAATATCCCATCCAATGTAATGCAAATCAACAGACATTTGAAAAGAGGTCCTAGAAACCCAACCAACTCATCTAGCTGTGTCCCCACTTTCCACAGAACCCCTACCGGACATGACAGTACGACAGTGTAGTTGTTAAATAAACTAACCGTTTCAGTGGTGCATGAAACAAGCGTGACACTTTATCAGAACGTATTGACCATGTCCCTGCAGTGGCCAACGGTGTGGAAAGGTTGAATTTGCATAACCTGTTTGCCAGAGAAACTTGAACAAAGTGTGGCTACCTGTGCTGTCTGTGGACTCTGACGTGATTATATAACAGAGTCTGGTATTAAAATGGTGCCTGTCGGTACCTGGCCAACTACAATGTCTAAAGTCATCCACTGACTTTAACACTTCTAAAGGCCAAGTGAATCAAAAACATATTTTTCCTGTGTTTTATATGTATTTCCACACTATGAGGTTAGAATAATACTGTGAAAATTTGAAAATGATGATAATGACCTTTTAGTGTAAGACCTGTTTGAAAAGACTGCCTGAAATATCAGCCTGTTTTGGTGGGATGGAGTTTTGGCCTGCCTGGGGACATCACCAGGCGGTAAATTAGTTGATAGACCAATAAGAGAGAGTTCCAAACCTCTCTGCCAATAACAGCTAGTTTTCAGTTTCCCCCTCCCCACTCAGACCACTCCCAGACAGTCCTAGCAAAATTCTTGCTAGAGAAATTGCTCTTTGCTAAGAAGCTATATTTTTTTATTTTTGACCATTTTTATTGTAACCAATAACAGTATAGTTCTCAACTGTTACCCAGAAAGTGTTCGATATTGAGATAAAAACGGCTGCATTTGACCTTTAAACGTAGTCTACAGCGATTAGAAAAACCATGAATCCGACTGCAAGTGTTTCAGTCTGGGTTGTTTTAAGAGTTGGAAGTGACTTCACAGAGACACCATGTTTTCAAACAGCATTTATTTATTTATTTATTCAGATAACCGAAGTTAAGATGATAATTAGAAAGGAGAGGATTACAAAAAGTAATGTTATTAAGTCACAAAAATAACTTTTACAAAATCACATTTTAGTAATATAACACAATATAACACATCTATCATTCTTCATTAGTTATCACCTGACAAAAATATAAAAACACTTGTGGCTCAGAATAGCACATTTCTGATGACTTTTCCTCAGCATGTAAAGTAAGGTGTGGTAGGGTGGTGTATGGAGGAGGGAGAGGGGGGTGGTATCAGGGTGTGGTAGGGTGGTGTATGGAGGAGGGAGAGGGGGGTGGTATCAGTGTGTGGTAGGGTGGTGTATGGAGGAGGGAGAGGGGGGTGGTATCAGTGTGTGGTAGGGTGGTGTATGGAGGAGGGAGAGGGGGGTGGTATCAGTGTGTGGTAGGGTGGTGTATGGAGGAGGGAGAGGGGGGTGGTATCAGTGTGTGGTAGGGTGGTGTATGGAGGAGGGAGAGGGGGGTGGTATCAGTGTGTGGTAGGGTGGTGTATGGAGGAGGGAGAGGGGGGTGGTATCAGTGTGTGGTAGGGTGGTGTATGGAGGAGGGAGAGGCTGTGGTATCAGTGTGTGGTAGGGTGGTGTATGAAGGAGGGAGAGGCTGTGGTATCAGTGTGTGGTAGGGTGGTGTATGGAGGAGGGAGAGGCTGTGGTATCAGTGTGTGGTAGGGTGGTGTATGGAGGAGGGAGAGGGGGGTGGTATCAGTGTGTGGTAGGGTGGTGTATGGAGGAGGGAGAGGCTGTGGTATCCGTGTGTGGTAGGGTGGTGTATGGAGGAGGGAGAGGGGGGTGGTATCAGTGTGTGGTAGGGCATGACTGAGGACGGGTGGGAGTAGTTCTTACGTTGTGTAGTTTGGTGTGAGGGGTGGCTGGAGGAGAGAGAGGGCAGTAGGTGTGAGGAGGGGTGGTTGTGGATGTAGGAGAGCTTCGCCCCAGTTTGACCCAGGAGGTAAGGGTTCATAAGGTCGTCAGAGGGCTGGAGTCTGGACAGGGAGAGGTCAGAGGACTGGAGTCTGGACAGGGAGGGGTCAGAGGGCTGGAGTCTGGACAGGGAGAGGTCAGAGGGCTGGAGTCTGGACAGAGAGAGGTCAGAGGGTTGGAGTCTGGACAGAGAGGAGTCAGAGGACTGGAGTCTGGACAGGGATAGGTCAGAGGGCTGGAGTCTGGACAGGGAGGAGTCAGAGGGTTGGAGTCTGGACAGGGAGAGGTCAGAGGGCTGGAGTCTGGACAGAGAGGAGTCAGAGGGCTGGAGTCTGGACAGGGAGGAGTCAGAGTAGAGACCCAGCTCAGCCTCTAACACACCTGTCTTCTGCTTAACCCTGTTGTTCTTAATGGAGACCTTACGGTTCCGTGTCTGGATGCTTTCCTTCTTCATGGTCAGAGGTCTGTTGACCTGAAGAGGAGAACAGAGGAACAGTGACATTAGTATGAATACTCCCCTGGGTGAATGAAGAGGATTCCATTATAGGAACAAAGGAAAGTATGTGTCTTGATTCATGTAGAAAAAGAGGCTAGTAGCACTAGATATTAACAGTAGGCATGTTGGTAACTTTACCTGCAGCATGCAGCTATTATTTACATTTACATTTTAGCGCCATGCTCTACCAACTGAGCTACAGGAGGCATATTATGCTTTATGACTTGTTATAAAGCATGTCTGATCCTTGATAATGTCTTATTATAAAGTTATAATATGCTGCGTCTCTCTACGGAGCGGCTGGTACCTGGCGGTTAGAAGGCACTTAACCCTAACTGCTCCAGTGTCGCTGTTGATAATGGCTGACCCTGGCAGTGACTCAGGGGAAGTTGGGATTATACATGCGTACAATACAAACTTGTACATATGTGAAATAGGACAAATATAATCACCCACCAAATTATTATTATTCAACGGACTCACAATGGCTGTTATGTAGTCTAACGGAATGAGAAGCCGGTGGCAGGTAGCTTAGTGGTTAAGAGCGTTGTGGCAGTAACCGAAAGGTCGCTGGTTCTAATCCCCGAGCCGACTAGGTGAAAAATCTGTCGATGTGCCCTTGAGCAAGGCACTTAACCCTAATTGCTCCTGTAAGTCGCTCTGGGTAAGAGCGTCTGCTAAATGACTAAAATGTAAATGTTATGTAGTCTAATGGAATGAGAAGCCGTTCTGCAGTCTAATGGAATGAGAAGCCGTTATGCAGTCTAATGGAATGAGAAGCCGTTACGCAGTCTAATGGAATGAGAAGCCGTTACGCAGTCTAATGGAATGAGAAGCCGTTACGCAGTCTAATGGAATGAGAAGCCGTTACGCAGTCTAATGGAATGAGAAGCCGTTACGCAGTCTAATGGAATGAGAAGCCGTTACGCAGTCTAATGGAATGAGAAGCCGTTATGCAGTCTAATGGAATGAGAAGCCGTTACGCAGTCTAATGGAATGAGAAGCCGTTACGCAGTCTAATGGAATGAGAAGCCGTTACGCAGTCTAATGGAATGAGAAGCCGTTATGCAGTCTAATGGAATGAAGAAGCCGTTACGCAGTCTAATGGAATGAGAAGCCGTTACGCAGTCTAATGGAATGAGAAGCCGTTACGCAGTCTAATGGAATGAGAAGCCGTTACGCAGTCTAATGGAATGAGAAGCCGTTATGCAGTCTAATGGAATGAGAAGCCGTTACGCAGTCTAATGGAATGAGAAGCCGTTATGCAGTCTAATGGAATGAGAAGCCGTTATGCAGTCTAATGGAATGAGAAGCCGTGAGGCTGTCTAATGGAATGAGAAGCCGTGAGGCAGTCTAATGGAATGAGAAGCCGTTACGCAGTCTAATGGAATGAGAAGCCGTGAGGCAGTCTAATGGAATGAGAAGCCGTTATGCAGTCTAATGGAATGAGAAGCCGTTACGCAGTCTAATGGAATGAGAAGCCGTTACGCTGTCTAATGGAATGAGAAGCCGTGAGGCAGTCTAATGGAATGAGAAGCCGTTCTGCAGTCTAATGGAATGAGAAGCCGTTACGCAGTCTAATGGAATGAGAAGCATTTACGCAGTCTAATGGAATGAGAAGCCGTTACGCAGTCTAATGGAATGAGAAGCCGTGAGGCAGTCTAATGGAATGAGAAGCCGTTACGCAGTCTAATGGAATGAGAAGCCGTTACGCAGTCTAATGGAATGAGAAGCCGTTCTGCAGTCTAATGGAATGAGAAGCCGTTACGCAGTCTAATGGAATGAGAAGCCGTTACGCAGTCTAATGGAATGAGAAGCCGTTACGCAGTCTAATGGAATGAGAAGCCGTTACGCAGTCTAATGGAATGAGAAGCCGTTACGCAGTCTAATGGAATGAGAAGCCGTTACGCAGTCTAATGGAATGAGAAGCCGTTATGCAGTCTAATGGAATGAGAAGCCGTTACGCAGTCTAATGGAATGAGAAGCCGTTACGCAGTCTAATGGAATGAGAAGCCGTTACGCAGTCTAATGGAATGAGAAGCCGTTACGCAGTCTAATGGAATGAGAAGCCGTTACGCAGTCTATGGAATGAGAAGCCGTTATGCAGTCTAATGGAATGAGAAGCCGTTACGCAGTCTAATGGAATGAGAAGCCGTTATGCAGTCTAATGGAATGAGAAGCCGTTATGCAGTCTAATGGAATGAGAAGCCGTGAGGCAGTCTAATGGAATGAGAAGCCGTTATGCAGTCTAATGGAATGAGAAGCCGTTATGCAGTCTAATGGAATGAGAAGCCGTTACGCAGTCTAATGGAATGAGAAGCCGTTACGCAGTCTAATGGAATGAGAAGCCGTTATGCAGTCTAATGGAATGAGAAGCCGTTATGCAGTCTAATGGAATGAGAAGCCGTGAGGCAGTCTAATGGAATGAGAAGCCGTGAGGCAGTCTAATGGAATGAGAAGCCGTTATGCAGTCTAATGGAATGAGAAGCCGTTATGCAGTCTAATGGAATGAGAAGCCGTTATGCAGTCTAATGGAATGAGAAGCCGTTATGCAGTCTAATGGAATGAGAAGCCGTTATGCAGTCTAATGGAATGAGAAGCCGTTATGCAGTCTAATGGAATGAGAAGCCGTGAGGCAGTCTAATGGAATGAGAAGCCGTTATGTAGTCTAATGGAATGAGAAGCCGTGAGGCAGTCTAATGGAATGAGAAGCCGTTACGCAGTCTAATGGAATGAGAAGCCGTTATGCAGTCTAATGGAATGAGAAGCCGTTATGCAGTCTAATGGAATGAGAAGCCGTTATGCAGTCTAATGGAATGAGAAGCCGTGATGCTGAGTAGTGAGAGTAGTTCTTACGTTGTGTAGTTTGTAGTAGAGTCCACAGGCGTTACAGACTGGCTCTCCGCTGGCGCTGCGTCTCCACAGAGTGGTCGTACTGGTGTGGCAGTTGGCACAGTTTGTCCATGCACGCTTACTGACGATCTGCATGGGGAGAGCAACAGAGATGTGTTTAACTTTAGAAATCACAGGTGGAGCAGCGAATACACTGTGGTAGATAGTGGTAGGACAGGGGAGAGGAGAGGAGAGGAGAGGAGAGGAGAGGAGAGGAGAGGAGAGGAGAGGAGAGGAGAGGAGAGGAGAGGAGAGGAGAGGAGAGGAGAGGAGAGGAGAGGAGAGGAGAGGAGAGGAGAGGAGAGGAGAGGAGAGGAGAGGAGAGGAGAGGAGAGGAGAGGAGAGGAGAGGAGAGGAGAGGAGAGGAGAGGAGAGGAGAGGAGAGGAGGAAAGATGTATTGTCTTGGAGAAATAAATATGAGAAGTCTAAGAAGGAAATTCACAGCATGACTGTAAATATATATAATAAATAACATACCAGTCAGAATAATCAATAACATACCAGTCAGTCTAAATAATCAATAACATACAGTGGGGGAAAAAAGTATTTAGTCAGCCACCAATTGTGCAAGTTCTCCCACTTAAAAAGATGAGAGGCCTGTAATTTTCATCATAGGTACACGTCAACTATGACAGACAAATTGAGAAAAAATAATCCAGAAAATCACATTGTAGGATTTTTAATGAATTTATTTGCAAATTATGGTGGAAAATAAGTATTTGGTCACCTACAAACAAGCAAGATTTCTGGCTCTCACAGACCTGTAACTTCTTCTTTAAGAGGCTCCTCTGTCCTCCACTCGTTACCTGTATTAATGGCACCTGTTTGAACTTGTTATCAGTATAAAAGACACCTGTCCACAACCTCAAACAGTCACACTCCAAACTCCACTATGGCCAAGACCAAAGAGCTGTCAAAGGACACCAGAAACAAAATTGTAGACCTGCACCAGGCTGGGAAGACTGAATCTGCAATAGGTAAGCAGCTTGGTTTGAAGAAATTAACTGTGGGAGCAATTATTAGGAAATGGAAGACATACAAGACCACTGATAATCTCCCTCGATCTGGGGCTCCATGCAAGATCTCACCCCGTGGGGTCAAAATGATCACAAGAACGGTGAGCAAAAATCCCAGAACCACACAGGGGGACCTAGTGAATGACCTGCAGAGAGCTGGGACCAAAGTAACAAAGCCTACCATCAGTAACACACTACGCCGCCAGGGACTCAAATCCTGCAGTGCCAGACGTGTCCCCCTGCTTAAGCCAGTACATGTCCAGGCCCGTCTGAAGTTTGCTAGAGTGCATTTGGATGATCCAGAAGAGGATTGGGAGAATGTCATATGGTCAGATGAAACCAAAATATAACTTTTTGGTTAAAAACTCAACTCGTCGTGTTTGGAGGACAAAGAATGCTGAGTTGCATCCAAAGAACACCATACCTACTGTGAAGCATGGGGGTGGAAACATCATGCTTTGGGGCTGTTTTTCTGCAAAGGGACCAGGACGACTGATCCGTGTAAAGGAAAGAATGAATGGGGCCATATATCGTGAGATTTTGAGTGAAAACCTCCTTCCATCAGCAAGGGCATTGAAGATGAAACGTGGCTGGGTCTTTCAGCATGACAATGATCCCAAACACACCGCCCGGGCAACGAAGGAGTGGCTTCGTAAGAAGCATTTCAAGGTCCTGGAGTGGCCTAGCCAGTCTCCAGATCTCAACCCCATAAAAAATCTTTGGAGGGTGTTGAAAGTCTGTGTTGCCCAGCGACAGCCCCAAAACATCACTGCTCTAGAGGAGATCTGCATGGAGGAATGGGCCAAAATACCAGCAACAGTGTGTGAAAACCTTGTGAAGACTTACAGAAAACGTTTGACCTGTGTCATTGCCAACAAAGGGTATATAACAAAGTATTGAGAAACTTTAGTTATTGACCAAATACTTATTTTCCACCATAATTTGCAAAAAAATTCATTAAAAATCCTACAATGTGATAATCTGGAATTCTTTTTCTCATTTTGTCTGTCATAGTTGACGTGTACCTATGATGAAAATTACAGGCCTATCTCATATTTTTAAGTGGGAGAACTTGCACAATTGGTGGCTGACTAAATACTTTTTTCCCCCACTGCACCAGTCAGTCTAAATAATAAATAACATACCAGTCAGTCTAAATAATCATTAACATACCGGTCTCTTTTTGGGTCTGATGAGGGGTCTGTTCTGGCTGTTCGTCTTGTGGTAGAGGCCACAGGTGTTACAGAGGTAGTGTCCTGTCCCGTCACGACGCCACAGAGGGGTGGCGGTCGCACCACAGTTCACACACTCACGGGCCTCTGGGACTGGGACAGGGACAGGGAGAGGGAGAGAGACAGGGACAGGGACAGGGACAGGGACAGGGACAGGGAGAGGGACAGGGACAGGGACAGGGAGAGGGACAGGGACAGGGAGAGGGACAGGGAGAGGGAGAGGGAGAGGGAGAGGGACAGGGAGAGGGACAGGGGAGGGAGAGGGACAGGGAGGGAGGGACAGGGAGAGGGACAGGGAGAGGGACAGGGAGAGGGACAGGGAGAGGGACAGGGAGAGGGACAGGGAGAGGGACAGGGAGAGGGACAGGGAGAGGGACAGGGACAGGGAGAGGGACAGGGAGAGGGAGAGGGAGAGGGACAGGGAGAGGGAGAGGGACCAGGGAGAGGGACAGGGAGGGAAGGGACAGGGGGGAGGGACAGGGAGCAGGGAGAGGGACAGGGAGAGGGACAGGGAGGGACAGGGAAGACAGGGAAGGGACAGGGACAGGGACAGGGAAAGAGGGACAGGGACAGGGACAGGGACAGGGAGAGGGACAGGGACAGGGGAGAGGGACAGGGACAGGAGGGACAGGGACAAAAGGCAGGGAGAGGGGACAGGGCGGGGGGACAGGGAGCGGGAGAGGGAAGGGAGAGGGGACAGGGACAGGGACAGGGAAGGGAAGAGGGACAGGGAGAGGGACAGGGACAGGAGAGGGACAGGGAGAGGGAGAGGGACAGGGAAGGGAAGGGACAGGGACAGGGAGAGGGACAGGGACAGGGAAGGGCAGGGAGAGGACGGGGACAGGGAAGGGACAGGGACAGGGAGAGGGGAGGGACGGGACAGGGAGAGGGAGAGGGAGAGGGACAGGGAGAGGGACAGGGACAGGGAGAGGGAAGGGAAGGGAGGGGACAGGGACAGGGAGAGGGACGGGAGAGGGAGAGGGACAGGGACAGGGAGAGGGACAGGGACAGGGAGAGGGACAGGGACAGGGACGGGAGGGGGGGACAGGGACAGGACAAGGAGAGGGACAGGGAGAGGAGAGGGAGAGGGAGAGGGAACAGGGACAGGGACAGGACAAGGAGAGGGACAGGGAGAGGGACAGGGACAGGGACAAGGAGAGGGACAGGGACAAGGAGGAGGGACAGGGACAGGGAGAGGGACAGGGACAGGGAGAGGGACAGGGACAGGGACAAGGAGAGGGACAGGGAGAGGGAGAGGGAGAGGGACAGGGACAGGGACAGGGACAGGGACAGGGAGAGCACCCGTCAGCTTTACATACAGCGCTTTCAGAAAGTATTCTATCCCCTTTACTTTCTCCACATTTTGTTACGTTACAGCCTTGTTCTAAAATGGATTACATTTATTTTTTTACTCAACAATCTACACACAGTAACCCATAATGACAATGCAAAAACCGGTTTTTTTTTTTGGCAAAGTAATTAGAAATAAAAAACAGAAATACCTTATTTACATAAGTATTCAGACCCTTTGCTATGAGACTTGAAATTGAGCTTAGGTGCATCCTGTTTCTATTGATCATCCTTGAGATGTTTCTACAACTTGATTGGTGTCCACCTGTAGAAAATTCAATTGATTGGACATGATTTGGAAAGGCACACACCTGTCTATATAAGGTCCCACAGTTGACAGTGCATTTCTGAGCAAAAACCAAGCCATAAGGTTGAAGGAATTGCCCGTAGAGCTCCGAGACAGGATTGTGTCGAGACACAGCTCTGGGGAAGGGTACCAAAACATTTCTGCAGCATTGAAGGTCCCCAAAAACAAAAACACAGTGGCCTCCATCATTCTTGAATGAAAGAAGCAATCGGGGGAGAAGGGCTTTGGTCAGGGAGGTGACCAACAACCCGATGGTCACTCTGACAGAGCTCCGGAGTTCCTCTGTGAAGATGGGAGAACCTTCCAGAAGGACAACCATCTCTACAGCACTCCACCAATCAGGCCAGACGGAAGCCACTCCTCAGTAAAAGGCACATGACAGCCTGCTTGGAGTTTGCCAAAAGGCACCTAAAGGACTCTCAGACCATGAGAAACAAGACTCTCTTGTTTGATGAAAGTGAGATTGAACTCTTTGGCATAAATGCCAAGCGTCACGTCTGGAGAAAACCTGGCGCCATCCCTACGGTGAAGCATGGTGGTGGCAGTTTCATGCTGTGGGGATGTTTTCAGCGGCTGGGACTGGGAGATTAGTCAGTATCGAGGGAAAGATGAACGGAGCAAAGTACAGAGAGATCCTTGATGAAAACCTGCTCCAGATCACTCAGGACCTCAGACTGGGGCGAAGGTTCACCTTCCAACAGGACAACGACCCTAAGCACACAGCTAAGACAACACAGGAGTGGCTTTGGGACAAGTCTCTGAATGTCCTTGAGTGGCCCAGCCAGAGCCCGGACTTGAACCCGATCGAACATCTCTGGAGAGACCTGAAAATAGCTGTGCAGCGATGCTCCCATCCAACCTGACAGAGCTTGAGAGGATATTCAGAGAAGAATGGGAGAAACTCCCCAAATACAGGTGTGCCAAGCTTGTAGCATCATTCCCAAGAAGACTCGAGGCTGTAATCGCTGCCAAAGGTGCTTCAACAAAGTACTGAGTAAAGGGTCTGAATACTTATGTAAATGTGATATTTCAGAAGAAAAAATATACAAATGTGCAGAAATTTCTAAAAAGCTGTTTTTGCTTTTTCATGATGGGGTATTGTGTGTAGATTGATGAGGGGGAAAAATCAATTTAATAAATTTTAGAATAAGGCCGTAACCTAACAAAATATGAAAAAAGTAAAGGGGTCTGAATAATTTCCCGAAAGCACTGTAATTTGTTTGACATAAAATAATCGGAAGCCTAGTTTTTGCATGTGCACCCTGCTGTCGTCTATACATTGTGTGGTTTAGTCTCAGGACGTACAGTGCGTTCAGAAAGTATTCATACCCCTTGACTTATTCCACATTTGTTGTGTTACAGCCTGAATTTTAAATGGATTAAATTTAGATTTTTTGGTCAATGACCTACACACAATATCCCATAATGTCAAAGTGGAATTGTATTTTTCCAAATGTTTCCAAATTAATTAAAAATGAAAAGCTGAAATGTTTTGAGTGAATAATTATTCCACCCCTTTATTATGGCAAGCCTAAATAAGTTCAGGAGTAAACATTTGCTTAACAAGTCACATAATAAATTGCATGGGCTTTGTGTGCAAAAAAAATAGTATTTAACATGATTTTTAAATGACTACCTCATCTCTGTACCCGATACAATAACTTGTCCCTCAGTCGACTAGTGAATTTCAAACACAGATTTAACCACAAAGACCAGGGAGGTTTTCCAATACTTCACAAAGGACACATATTGGTAGATTTTTTTTAAAGAAAAGAAAAAAAGACATTAAATATCCCTTTGAGCATGGTGAAGTTATTAATTACCCTTTGGATGGTGTATCAATACACCCAGTCACTACAAAGATACAGGCGTCCTTCCTAGCTCAGTTTCCGGAGAGGAAGGAAACAGCTCAGGGATTTCGTTGTGAGGCCAATATTAATTACAGAGTTTAATGGCTGTGATGGGAGAGAATTGAGGGATGGATCAACATTGTAGTTACTCCACAATACTAACCTAATTGACATAGTGAAAAGAAGGAAGCCTGTACAGAATACACATTTTTCCAAAACATGCATTCTGTTTGTGTGGTATCTGGACAATTTATGACTTTGCTAATGGTTGCAAATAGTCTTAGAGGATGTTGACTCAGCTTAAGGGAGCATCTGGGGAGTAGTTCTATAGGGGCACCCTAAAGCAGAGGAAGTCTGTTAGGTGGAGTCCTGGGATTGGTCTGTAGGGGAAAACACCCATATTATGTTACATAGGGCATAGGATATAAATACCACAGTTAAAACAAAGGACGGGGAGAATAACATATTTAGAGTTTGGGTCAGGTTATTCTCCAGATGTCTGCAGATATCTGTAAATTGGCGCTGAGATCTTCAAATGTAATAAATAATTATAATCGAGGACAGTGTCAGCGGATTTCCTTGTTCTCACAGCATAATTAGCATCGTTTTCTCGACACTACATAATGGCGACGAGGTATTGGTCGTGTTGCGTCTTTTCTCAGCGTTCCATTCATGGGCGCCGAGCTGACTCTCGCTCCAGAGTCCGGCAGATAAGGGTGAGTTTTCTCACTACTTTTGGGCACTGGTTAGTTCGTGTGTCTGTGTGTGTGTGCGTTGAATGAATGCACCGTTAAGAACTTGCGTGTGTGCTTTGCTGTTATTTGCTGTGGGATAAGAGTCCGTTCTAAATTTCTACATTTGTTTGCGCTGGTAAACAACGCAAACAGGGGGGAGTGTCTATAGGGATATTTTTGCTTGAATAAAATTCAAAAAGAATACAATGAAGGAAAGGCCAGGAACTAAGGAAAAATGTATACAAATTAGAACATCGCGGATCTATGTTAAGCCCTCCAACGAGGCGATCATTAGGATGGGCCGAAAATCCTAAAAGCGCATTAGGTGGGTCTGGGGACTGGGGTTGTGGTATATACATTCGGTTGCAAGTTATCGCTCGACTTATAGTTGACGAAGTATATGTTTGATGTAACCGCTCATTGAATTTCCGCGAACTCAAGGTAGCAGAAATTTAGGAACAAAGGAAAAAATGGCGCGATGGTAGTAGCATGCTTAGAGGTCCGTAGGAACGGAAATAAGCCTCTTAAACTGTATGTGTGTGTGTGTGTGTGTGTGGAAGAGAGTAGGATTTGTGTTCTATGTTTTGTGTTGGTTTGTGAGTTGTGTTAAGTGTTACTGTTTGTCTATGGGGGGAAAGAACGGAGCGACAGCTGGTCTGTCTACTTTCTGTTGTTTAGGCTGGGAGAGAGCTGCTTGGGAGAGCTCCTTCCACTATGAAATCGCACTGGTGAATGAACTACGCATGCGTGGGATTTTATGAGTTTAGAGTTATGTAGAGAAAATGTGCCACTCCCCTGCCTGCACTGGGCTGCTGGGAGACGCAGACTCAGAGCAGACAGAGAGGGAGGGGGAGATTTAGATACGAATGATGGAGTGTTCTGTTTGTTAAATCGGCTGTTGCTTAACGATGAAACTATTTGATTGAGATCTATTGAATTGATAAATGAGAGATATGTTGACGGATAAAAAAATAAAAAAATAAAAAATGGTTATTGAACTATTTATACTATTCCTGAGTTAAGTTGTTTGCTTATTTCTTAGAGCGAATGTGAACAGAGGGGTATTGAATGGTTGAAATAACCCAGTGAGTGCATAAAATACTAAATTATTGTCTGTTTCTTTGTTCTTCTGTGATATGAGAGACGATAAGAAGGAGGAGACAGAGAGAGAGAGGAAGTGCTGACGAGTGCGTCATGCGACAGAGTGTGCTGCAACGGATCAAGTCAAATCAATGCTAGTACTGTTCTATTCACAAAACTTACCTTCCCATAGAGGATATTTTGGGTGCCTAGCATATTTGATGTTATGACAATTTGACAAGGACTTGGCAACAGACTGATCAATTGATGTAATTAAGAATTGCATTTTTGAGTTTTTGTGCATGAGTGGTTTTGATTAGAGTTGAGTGGGGAAATTGAGCACTGACATTATTCTGTAAAATTAAGGTAATTGGGTGCTTATTAAGCAATTGGTTTGTGAGTGCTGTAGTGTTGCTGGATTACAGGTCTTTCTTTTTTGGATTGCTCGGAAGTTGACTACTTTCATTTACTTTTCCTGATCGGATGTGGTAAGATTGCCACTAATCAATAATTCGGTAAAATAAAATAAAATAAAATGAATAAATAAGTTAATTGATTAATTAATTGATGAATTAATTAATAAAAAATAAAATAAAAGAGGGAATCATAAGCTACATAGTCTAAAATAATAAAATAATTCACAATAAAGGAATATAAAAGAGTTGCTACAAGGGGGAAAAAGGACATAAAAACTATGAAAGTAATTACTCCTGTTGATGTAGTAGAAAATGGTAATCCTTTAGTGAATGGTATTGCAAGGTTATCTGGAAAAGGGAATAAACGTTGGGGTGACATTGAACAACCATGGCTAGTGGAAGGGACTCTTAACCCTGACGTCATCAACATGATGAAAGTGATTGAATAATAGAGAGAGGAAAAGCAGAAACGACCATAAAGATTAATCCAAACTCCAAAAGTAGGAAGAAAACTAGATGTCTGGAAACTAAGGGTGGAGTGAGGTTCAGGAAGATGGAACTTGAAGATGATGATGATGATGATGATGATCAGAGTGATTGAAGGGAGATCATGGGTGGATATGACTCTGTGATCAGAAGGAAGTTGGCAAGAGAGGAAAGAAGGGGTGATGGAAGTTGAAGGAAGAAGAAGGATACTAGAGATTCGATCTCTGATGAAAGTGAAGATGGAGAAAGCGATGAAGATTTGGAGATTAAGGGTGCTTTATGTTAAGGAGGATTTTATCCTACAATGATTAGCACAGAATAAATAGAAAGAGATATAGACCGATGCGTATCATGCCTGGATAAGGGGAATAATTTAGAAGAAGTAAGAGAACTGGAAGAACAACTCAAGAAGCTGAAGATACAGAAGAGAAGAAAAAACTGCTGAGAAAAGGATCCCAAGAATTGGGATCAACAATCACTGCCACAGCTTCAACTGAACCAGATCAAATGCAATTGTACCAGCCACCAATAGCGGTACCAGTTGTTTCATATCCATAGCCAGTTTCTGGACAGGCACAGAATTGGAGAGGAAGAGGATGAGAAGGCTTAGGAAGAGGAGGAAGATTTAAGTCATACTTCCAGCAATCTTCAGAAGTGTGTTATGATTGTGGACAGGTTGGTGACTTTGCCTGTGAGTGTAATGGGCCAGAAGGAAACACAATAGGGAATTTCAGAGGAAGATACAGGAGCAAGTGAAGATCATCTGGAGGACAGGTGAACCCTTATAGGGGCAAGGAGCAAGGATTCTAGGGGTGCCTAGAAGATCCGAAAGGGAGGTGTCAGCTGGTAGCACCAGTTAGGGGAAAAAGATCCAACAATTGAGGTGGAAATAAACCACGGACCATTGGAAGTGATGGTGGAAAGAGGAACTGCTTTTATCTGTGTTCAGCCTGAAGAGGTTACACATCTCACTATGTCAAATCAACTAATTAGAATAGGGATTTGAGGGAGTAAAACAGTTGATTACTCTTAAGGAACCAATTGAGCTCTGCTATGAAAATGAGAAAATTACAATACCCATACTGGTATCAGAACATACACCTATTGCGTTGTTGGGAAGAGATGCATTGTGGAAGTTGAACTGTACCAATAAGATGTACACCAGACGGCTGTCTGGTAGAAGTGCCAAAGGAAAAGGTTTACCAATTGTTGATGATGACAGAGAGGGATTAGTCTATAGTATTCTGGATTGGAAATCTCAGTGAAGATTTTTTGAAGCAGGCTAAGATATGGAAGAAATGTAAGGGGGAAAATATGCCAGATGCGAGGCTTCTGGAATATCCATTTCAATTCAGCTCCAGTATTTCAAGAATGCTGCCGAATTGAACTCAGAGGAATGGTTGAGTCATCAACTAAAGAAAGTTCAACTCAGCTCATGGATAAAGAATTGGAGATTGAGAAGAGTGTGCCACATGTGACCTTGTTGGTTTCTGAAGGCTATGAGCAGAAGCAAATAGGAGAAATGATGACAGAAGCAGAGAAAGCTGTTTTTGTAATGATGGAAGAGAATTGGGGGATTTGGAGGAGTGAAGATCAGCGATTTCTGAAAATGATGAGAACCCACAACCCTGGCGTTGCTCTACCAACTGTTTCTCAACGTTCTCTGAACTATTTGAGAACATTCCCAATGTCGAATCAGTTGGAGAACATTCCTAGAACACTACCGAAATTTGAAATGAAATGTAACCATGTTTGAACTTGTTGTCATCTCACCTGGAGGAGAGAGGTTGATCTTGTAGTTGAGTAGTTTGGGGGAATAGCAGTAGGAGGAAGGGTAGATGACAGCCCCAGGGGAGGAGTAGAGAGAGGCTGAGCTGTAGTCCTGTCCTGACCCCCAGGGGTTGCTGTAGAAGCCCAAGGAGTGACCGTAGGCCTGGGCAGAGTGTGGGTACCCATCCCCTGGTGCAGAGATGAGGGTGAGAAAACTACTGCTACATCCGTCATCACTGGGACTCAGCCTCTCCTGGAGCCTGGGACTGTCCTGACAGTCGTGCCCAGGGGTGTGGTGCCCGGTCCTGGGGATGGTCAGAGAGGAGAAGGAGGAGGAGGTGTGGGGGTGTAGAGGGGACTTGGTGGTGGTGAAGGAGCAGGAGGAGGAGTTGAGAGGCTGGCCCCCAGAAGCCCCCTGCTCCAACCACTGGACACTACTGTTGACGTGGGAGGATGACGAGTGCACCTGGTGAACTGGAACACAACACAAAAAGGGAGGAACTGTTAGTCTCTGAGTAGCTGGTGTAAGGCTAATTTACAGTGAGGGGAAAAAAGTATTTGATCCCCTGCTGATTTTGTACGTTTGCCCACTGACAAAGAAATGATCAGTCTATAATTTTAATGGTAGGTTTATTTGAACAGTGAGATACAGAATAACAACAAAAAAATCCAGAAAAGACGCATGTCAAAAATGTTATAAATTGATTTGCATTTTAATGAGGGAAATAAGTATTTGACCCCTTCTCAATCAGAAAGATTTCTGGCTCCCAGGTGTCTTTTATACAGGTAACGAGCTGAGATTAGGAGCACACTCTTAAAGGGAGTGCTCCTAATCTCAGTTTGTTACCTGTATAAAAGACACCTGTCCACAGAAGCAATCAATCAATCAGATTCCAAACTCTCCACCATGGCCAAGACCAAAGAGCTCTCCAAGGATGTCAGGGACAAGATTGTAGACCTACACAAGGCTGGAATGGGCTATAAGACCATTGCCAAGCAGCTTGGTGAGAAGGTGACAACAGTTGGTGCGATTATTCACAAATGGAAGAAACACAAAATAACTGTCAATCTCCCTCGGCCTGGGGCTCCATGCAAGATCTCACCTCGTGGAGTTGCAATGATGACGAGAACGGTGAGGAATCAGCCCAGAACTACACAGGAGGATCTTGTCAATGATCTCAAGGCAGCTGGGACCATAGTCACCAAGAAAACAATTGGTAACACACTACGCCGTGAAGGACTGAAATCCTGCAGCGCCCGCAAGGTCCCCCTGCTCAAGAAAGCACATATACATGCCCGTCTGAAGTTTGCCAATGAACATCTGAATGATTCAGAGGAGTACTGGGTGAAAGTGTTGTGGTCAGATGAGACCAAAATCGAGCTCTTTGGCATCAACTCAACTCGCCGTGTTTGGAGGAGGAGGAATGCTGCCTATGACCCCAAGAACACCATCCCCACCGTCAAACATGGAGGTGGAAACATTATGCTTTGGGGGTGTTTTTCTGCTAAGGGGACAGGACAACTTCAACGCATCAAAGGGACGATGGACGGGGCTATGTACCATCAAATCTTGGGTGAGAACCTCCTTCCTTCAGCCAGGGCATTGAAAATGGGTCGTGGATGGGTATTCCAGCATGACAATGACCCAAAACACACGGCCAAGGCAACAAAGGAGTGGCTCAAGAAGAAGCACATTAAGGTCCTGGAGTGGCCTAGCCAGTCTCCAGACCTTAATCCCATAGAAAATCTGTGGAGGGAGCTGAAGGTTCGAGTTGCCAAACGTCAGCCTCGAAACCTTAATGACTTGGAGAAGATCTGCAAAGAGGAGTGGGACAAAATCCCTCCTGAGATGTGTGCAAACCTGGTGGCCAACTACAAGAAATGTCTGACCTCTGTGATTGCCAACAAAGGTTTTGCCACCAAGTACTAAGTTATATTTTGCAGAGGGGTCAAATACTTATTTCCCTCATTAAAATGCAAATCAATTTATAACATTTTTGACATGCGTATTTCTGGATTTTGTTGTTGTTATTCTGTCTCTCACTGTTCAAATAAACCTACCATTAAAATTATAGACTAATCATTTCTTTGTCAGTGGGCAAACGTACAAAATCAGCAGGGGATCAAATACTTTTTTCCCTCACTGTAGGAATAGTTTCATCATTTCAGAGACAAGGTGAATTCAGTGCAAGTTCAATGATCCAGGGGTAGTTGAGACAAAATGTATTTTCCAGACGTTGAAATCAGGTGCATTTCAGGTGCTGAATTAAATGTGAACAGACGGCTTTTCTGTACTGACATTGAAAATACATATTTTCCCGGACATAGAAAAACATTCTCAAAGAAGTAAGCATTATATCACAATAACATTTTTTTTCAAGCCTCTTCATTTATCAAAGATGAGCCAAACCAAAGATTGCAACAGATTATGTATTAGCCCATTGCTCACATCTCTCACATGCACTTATGTTAGTTTTTTCAAAATATTTAAAACAGTTTTATTAAGGCAAGTCGTCCAGGTCCTGAGGCAGCAAAGCATCCCCAAACCATCACACCACCACCACCATACTTGACCGTTGGTATAAGGTTCTTACTGTGGAATGCAGTGTTTGGTTTTCGCCAGGCACAATGGGACCCATGTTTTTCACACAGGCCAATTGGGTGTTGCATAACTTTGTTAATTAAATAAAATAAGTATCCATTATTTTTTGTTATTTGTAAACTCAGGTTCCCTTTATCTAATATTAGGTTTTTGTTGAAGATCTGATAACGTTCAGTATCAGAAATATGCAAAACATTTAGAAAATCCGAAAGGGGGCAAATACTTTTTCACGGCACTGTAGCTCTGGATAAGAGCATCTGCTGAATGACCTAAATGTGATGTAAAAACAAATACTTGCAAACGCATGCTGGGTATTATTCTAAGGACCTCCGCCCCCAAACGCATGCTGGGTATTATTCTAAGGACCTCCGCCCCCAAACGCATGCTGGGTATTATTCTAAGGACCTCCGCCCCCAAACGCATGCTGGGTATTATTCTAAGGACCTCCGCCCCCAAACGCATGCTGGGTATTATTCTAAGGACCTCCGCCCCCAAACAAGTACAAATTTGGTCGGTGCAGACCAGATCCAAATCTAAAGGAATCATAGATGTCTAGGCAAGTTTCACAAGTTTCAACATCACAGTACAGAACAGTTTAGTTTAATTCAGTAGAGTACATTAGAGTTTAGTTCAGTAGAGTACAGTAGAATTTAGTTCAGTAGAGTACATTATAGTTTAGTTCAGTAGAGTACAGTAGAGTTTAGTTCAGTAGAGTACATTATAGTTTAGTTCAGTAGAGTACATTAGAGTTTAATTCAGTAGAGTACAGTACAGTTTAGTTCAGTAGAGTACATTATAGTTTAGTTCAGTAGAGTACATTATAGTTTAGTTCAGTAGAGTACATTAGAGTTTAGTTCAGTAGAGTACAGTAGAGTAAAGTAATGTACAATAAGTACACTATACTTTACTTTTCTTGACGTTACTGAACTCTGCTGTGCTCTATTGTACTGTGCTGTCAAAACTTGTGAAACATAGATCTCTATGGACCGGACGAAATCTGAAGGAATTATAGACGTCTATGTTTGGGCCAAACATAGGCCGGTCCGGACCAGACGTTGAAATCAAGGCCGGTCCAGACTGCACCAAAAAAAGACTTCCAAAAGACGTCGCCATCGGTAAACAAACTGGAGGCGCTTTCCTGAAAGTCACTATTGATTACATCTTAGCCATATACACTACATGACCAAAAGTATGTGGACTCCTGCTCGTCGAACATCTCATTTCAAAATGATGGGCATTAATATGGAGTTGGTCCCCCCTTTGCTGCTATAAAAGCCTCCACTCGTCTGGGAAGGCTTCCCACTAGATGTTGGAAAATTGGTGCGGGAACTTGCTTCCATTCAGCCACAAGAGCATTAGTGAGGCCTGGCTCGCAGTCAGCGTTCCAATTCAATTTTTGAATCAATTTTAGAGTAAGGCTGTAACGTAACAAAATTTGGAAAAGGGGAAGGGGTCTGAATACTTTCCACTGTAAAGTGTACCTCTAGCAGGAAAAATAAAGGTAATAAATAAATCAACAAAACTAAAATACTGACCTGGGCTCTGTCTGTACAAGGGTTCAGGTCGACTGCGGCTGGTGCCGGAGATGCAGGAAGGCATGCTGGGAAACCCAGAGACAGCTGAGAGGTATGGCTGGTGCAGGGAGTCTGGAGAGGCGAGACTGGCCTCATCCCCATGGTTCTGGAGGGAGTCTGGACTGGCCTCATCCCCATGGTTCTGGAGGGCGTCTGGACTGGCCTCATCCCCATGGTTCTGGAGGGAGTCTGGACTGGCCTCATCCCCATGGTTCTGGAGGGAGTCTGGACTGGCCTCATCCCCATGGTTCTGGAGGGAGTCTGGACTGGCCTCATCCCCATGGTTCTGGAGGGAGTCTGGACTGGCCTCATCCCCATGGTTCTGGAGGGAGTCTGGACTGGCCTCATCCCCATGGTTCTGGAGGGAGTCTGGACTGGCCTCATCCCCATGGTTCTGGAGGGAGTCTGGACTGGATTTAGGCCTGTGGTACTGGAGAGACTCAAGAGAGGCTACACTGGTCTCTGTAATGAAGCTGGACATGTCTTCAGGAGGGCGCTGGAGAGGACATCCAGCTGTAGAACCCTGCATCAGTGTGGAGAACACTGGAATAACAACAGTAATGGACCTCCCTGTAACTACACAACATACAATTCCATTCAATTTTACTGTAGGAATCCTATAGAGAGAGACTGTGTATTACAACTGACTACATTGTTACAGAGCTACAGAACTAACCAGTTAAAATGTAATGTTAAAGAGGATCTCACGATTAGTAGACAGATTGTGATAGCACAGTACTGTTTGCCAATCAATTATGACATGGCAAAGTAAAATAAAGCAGGTCAGTAAATTCTGACATTACAAACCAAATAAGTTGTACATAAAGGTATTTAAACAACCGAGAATGAAGTATACTTGTGAAATGACATTGATACTATGATGTTGGTCAAAGACTAAGAACTTGTTTGCAGATAATACTTCATTGACAAAATCATGAATCTAAATGAAATATCAGCCACTAAATGGGAAAATCATTACAAAAAAAAAGTCAAATTATTATCACTTGTAAAAAATTTATACATTTTTATAGTGGTTAATACATTTAATTAATTTAATTTCATTTTGCCAGGATAGTTATTTCATTAACACTCGTACATTAAAGTTATAATAAAATGTAAATCAACAAAATGTTACTCACCGAATCTTCAGGTATAGTAGAGAGAGAGAGTTCACCTGGAACAGGTGAGTATCAACAGGAGGGTTGGTTAAGGCTGAGGCTGAGGTGTCAGTCAGATAAAGTGGAAGGAGATGTGGTTGGCAGGGTGTGTCTGTCTGGTGCCTGGGTTAGGGAGAGGAAGGGAGGGAGGGGACGAACTGTATGTGGGAGGGCTCGGGTGTGTGTCTGTATGTGTGTGTGTCTGTGTGTGTGTGTGTGTCTGTGTGTGTGTGTGTGTGTGTGTGTGTGTGTGTGTGTCTGTGTGTGTGTGTGTGTTTGTGTGTCTGTGTGTGTGTCTGTGTGTGTGTGTGTGTGTGTGGTGTCTGTGTTGTGTTTCTGTGTCGGTGTGTTTGGGTGTGTGTGGCGTGTGTTGTGTGTGTCGTGTGTGTTTCGGTGTTTGTGTGGTGTGTCTTGTGTGTTTTCTTGTGTGTGTGTGTGTGTGGTGTGTCTGTCCTGTGTGTGTGTGTGTCGTGGTCGGTGTGTGTGTGTGTGTGCGTGTGTGTGTGTGTCTTTGTGTGTTGTCTGTGTGTGTGTTTGTGTCTGGTGTGGGTGTGTCTGTGTGTGTGTGTGTGTGTGTGTGTTGTGTCTGTGTGTGGGTGTGTGTGTTCGGTGTGTGTGTGTGTGTGTGGTCTGTGTGTGTGTGTGTGTGGTTTCGGTGTGGGTGTGTGTGTGTTGGTGTGTCTGTGTGTGTGTGTGTGTGTGGTGTGTTGTGTGTGTGTGTGTGTGTTGTGTGTGTGTGTGTAGTCAGGAGTGTGAGAGCTGCAGCTACTACTACTGGCTATAAAATACCTGTTTATTCTTCTTCTCCCCCGTTTATTCTCTCTCCCTGTTTATCTCTCTCCCCTGTTTATTCTCTCTCCCTGTTATTCTCTCTCCCCCTGTTTATTCTTCTCCCACTGTTTATATATCTCTCTCCCCCTGTATTATTCTCTCTCCTCCCTGTTTATTTCTCTCCCCTGTTTAATCTCTCCTCCCCCCCTGTTTATTCTCTTCCCCCTGTTTATCTTCTCCCCTGTTTATCTCTCTCTGTTTATTCTCTCTCCCCCTGTTTATTCTCTCTCCCCCTGTTTATTCTCTCTCCCCTGTTATATCCTCTCCCCTGTTTATTCTCTCTCCCCCTGTTTATTCTCTTCTTCCCCTTTAATTCTCTCTCCCCTGTTTATTCTCCTCTCCCCCTGTTTATTCTCTCTCCCCCTGTTTTATTCTCTCTCCCCTGTTTATTCTCTCTCCCCTGTTAATTCTCTCTCCCCCTGTTTATTCTCTCTCCCCTGTTAATTCTCTCTCCCCCTGTTTATTCTCTTCCCCCCTGTTTATTCTCTCTCCCCCTGTTATTCTCTCTCCCCCTGTTTTTTCTCTCTCCCCCTGTTTATTCTCTCTCCCCCCTGTTTATCTTCTCTCCCCCTGTTTATTCTCTCTCCCCCTGTTAATTCTCTCTCCCCCTGTTAATTCTCTCTCCCCCTGTTTAATTCTCTCTCCCCCTGTTTATTCTCTCTCCCCCTGTTTATTCTCTCCCTTCCTCTCCCCGTTTTATTCTCTCCCCCCTGTTTATTCTCTCCCCCCCTGTTAATTCTCTCTCCCCCGTTTACCCGCCAGTCATTCAGCAGGTAGCCTAGCAGTTAAGAGCGTCGGGCCTGTAACCAAAATGTCGCTGGTTCGAATCAAATCAAATCAAAATGTATTTGTCACATGCACCAAATACAACAGGTGTAGACCTTACCGTGAGATGCTTAATTACAAGCCCTTAACCAACAATGCAGTTAAGAAAAATAAGAGTTAAGAAAATATTTGTGGGGGTACAGGTTAGTCGAGGTAATAATGAGGCTATATACAGGGGGTACCGGTACTGAGTCAATGTGTGGGGGTACAGGTTAGTCCAGGTAGCTTGTACATGTAGGTAGGGGTACAGTGACAATGCATAGATAATAAACAGCGAGTAGCAGCGTAAAAAAAGGGGGGGGGGGTGGTCAAAGCAAATAGTCCAGGTAGCCATTTTGGACCTAGACTTGGCGCTCCGGTACCGCGCGGTAGCAGAGAGAACAGTCTTCCAGTTGAAGCTCGCATCTGCTACAAGACCATGGTGCTTGCCTACGGAGCTGTGAGGGGAACGGCACCTCCGTACCTTCAGGCTCTGATCAGACCCTACACCCAAACGAGGGCATTGCGTTCATCCACCTCTGGCCTGCTGGCTCCCCTACCTCAGCGGAAGCATAGTTCCCGCTCAGCCCAGTCAAAACTGTTCGCTGCTCTGGCACCCCAATGGTGGAACAAGCTCCCTCACGACGCCAGGACAGCGGAGTCACTCACCACCTTCCGGAGACATTTGAAACCCCACCTCTTTAAGGAATACCTGGGATAGGATAAAGTAATCATTCTACCCCCCCCTTACCCCACCCCACTCCCCAAAAAATTATAATAATAATAATAATAATTGTAAAGTGGTTATCCCATTGGCTATAAGGTGAATGCACCAATTTGTAAGTCGCTCTGGATAAGAGCGTCTGCTAAATGACGTAAATGTAAAACAATTTAAATGTAATTGAGGGAGAGATTATTGTCCTGGCACCATACTGTCAAATCTCTGATCTCCTCCCTATAGGCTGTCTCATCGTTGTCGGTGATCAGGCCTACCACCGGTGTGTCGTCGGCAAACTTAATGATGGTCTTTGAATCCCCAAGCCGACAAGGTGAAAAACCTGTCAATGTGCCCTTGAGCAAGGCACTTAACCCTAATTGCTCCTGTAAGTTGCTCTGGATAATAGCATCTGCTAAATTATTTAAATGTCAAAATGTAGCACCCAAAACTCTGTAGATTCCTCAGGGTGACTAGTTTGGTAACAGACAACACAATCTCACACTCAATTCGTGCAAATATGTACAAAAAGTACAAGCATTTTTCTAAAATACACAAATTTTTGTGCGACTTCATTCATAGGAAAATACACATTTTTTGGGGGGGCAAACTTCGGAACAATCTCTAGAAAGTTATTAGAGCAATGCATGATGGACAATGGTGTTCTAAACTGACTTATAATAATAGTGAAGACATCAAAACTATGAAATAACACATATGGAATCATGTAGTAACCAAAAAAGTGTTAAACAAATCAAAATATCAAAATAGATTCTTCAAGTAGCCACCCTTTGCCTTGATGACAGCTTTGCACACTCTTGGCATTCTGATGCTGACCTTCTAGGCAGGCTGCAAAGAAAAAGCCATATCTCAGACTGCCCATTTTAATCTTTTCTTTTTATTGGCCAGTCTGAGATATGGATTTTTCTTTGCAACTCTGCCTAGAAGGTCAGCATCCCGGAGTCGCCTCTTCACTGTTGACGTTGAGACTGGTGTTTTTTACGGGTACTATTTAATGAAGCTGCCAGTTGAGGACCTGTGAGGCTTCGGTTTCTAAAACTAGACACTCTAATGTATTTGTCCTCTTGCTCAGTTGTGCACCGGGGCCTCCCACTCCTCTTTCTATTCTGGTTAGAGCCAGTTTGCGCTGTTCTGTGAAGGAAGTAGTACACAGCGTTGTACGAGATCTTCAGCTTCTTGGCAATTTCTCGCATGGAATAGCCTTCATTTCTCAGAACAAGAATAGACTGATGAGTTTCAGGAGAAAGTTATTTGTTTCTGGCCATTTTGAGCCTGTAATCGAACCCACAATTGCTGATGCTGCAGATACTCAACTAGTCTCAAGAAGGCCAGTTTTATTGCTTCTTTAATCAGCACAACAGTTTTCAGCTGTGCTAACATAATTGCAAAAGGGTTTTCTAATGATCAATTAGCCTTTTAAAATGATACATTTGGATTAGCAAACACAACGTGCCATTGGAACACAGGACTGATGGTTGCTGATAATGGGCCTCTGTACATCTATGTAGATATTCAATTAAAAAATCAGCAGTTTCCAGCTACAGTAGCCATTTACAACATTAACAATGTCTACACAGTTTTTTTGATCCATTTGATGTTATTTTAATGGACAAAAAAAGTTGTTTTTCTTTCGAAAACAAGGACATTTCTAAGTGACCCCAAACTTTTGAACGGTAGTGTATGTCAGACTGTCACCACTTCCTCCGTAGCTGCCTCCTCTCGTTGTTCCGGAAGGCTTCGGCGTCCGTCGTCACCGGCCTTCTAGCCACTGCCGCTCCTCATCTCATCATTCCATTTGTTTTGGTCTTGTTTATTACACACACACACCTGGTTTCAATTCCCCTCATATTTCTAAGTGACCCCAAACTTTTGAACGGTAGTGTATAACCCCTATCTTGAGGTCAGTCAGTGAGAACCAAGAGGGGCCTAGCTTCGTCCTTCATGACTGGGAAA